TTCAAGACACTAGCCCGTGCAGGCTGCGTGCTGACTTCGTTTTGCCAGTGCGCCTTCGGCGCGCCGTTCGAGGGAGCCACGACAATGCTGCACAACAAGCCGTGGCTTCTGCCTCTGGCCTGTAGCTGTTCCTGCGCGGGATTCGATTGCCATTTTCCTCTGGAAACCGAGCTGCTCACAGTTGCATCACGCGAGGATTTTCTTGTCCGGTGCCGGCCCTCTGCACTGGCAGTCTACGGTTTCGAACCGGTGGTGGGCGACCGCCTGGAAGCCCTGGCTAGCTTGTACCCTCTGCCTTTCGTCCGGCAGCTGGCAGCTGGATCTGTTTCAGCTCGCCGAGGCGGACCAAGCTGTTTGCCGGCCGCAGCTCAACAGCAAACTTCCGACCGTTTGGGTTTAGGTCTGGTTTTCGACCCCTGTTTCGAACCGACCTTAAAGCCCTACCCCTTTCGCGATTGGCACGAAGACCCGGAGTGGATCAGCGAATTGTGCCGATCCCTACGGTTTCGGGAAAAATTTAGGTATAAGTTTAAGCTCCCCGGTCACATCAACGTCAACGAGGCCCGTGTCCTCAAGTCTTGGTTGAAATCTCTTTCGAAGGAAGTCTCCGATTGCAGAGTCGCTGCCTTGCTGGACTCGCGCGTCACCATCGGCGCGGCGGCGAAAGGCCGCTCCAGCAGCTTCGCCATCAGCAGGGTTCTTCAGGGTTGTCTGGGGTATGTCCTTGGTTCAGGGCTCTACCCGGGTTTGCTTCACTGCTACTCTGGCGACAACAGAGCCGACGACCCTTCACGCGACAAGCCCGTACAAGCTCCCACTCTGACTGAACCTTTGTGGCTTTCTTCCTTGCAGTCAGGTTCGTCGTGGCGTTTTGACGCTGTTGCTGACAGCTGCCGACTGAAGAAGCTGCCCGCGCGGTGGCTTCGCTTCTTACTGCTTCTGGCTGGGGACATTGAACGCAATCCTGGACCGGTCCCTTGCCGACCTAGAGTCCGTCGAGGCTTTTTGGATCCTGAGGCGGGTTTCGCGCAGAGCACTGCCCACAAGATGCGCAAAGCCCTGGACTCCTTCGAAAGCTGGCTTCTCGATCAAGCCGGTCTCTCGCTTGATTGTGTGCTTCAGGACAACGTTGCCGCCGAGCTAGCTTTGCGAGGTTTTGGCCTGTACTTGTACTCCGAGGGCTTCCCGAGGTACCTCCTGGTTTACGCTCTGACCGCGGTGCAGAACCGCTGCCCCTCTTTCCGAAACCACCTCGCTGGCGCCTGGCAAGTCGACAGAAAGTGGCAGCTCGCTGAGCCCGGCGAGTGCCGTTCTGTGTTACCTGCTGCTGCAGTTCGCGCCGCTCTTTGCCTGGCTACGTTGTGGGGATGGTACGACTGGACCGCGGTAGTGCTCATCGGCTTCCTAGCAATGCTGCATCCTGCAGAGATGTTGGCGCTGACTCGTCGAGACTTGGTCTTTCCTGCAGATAGTTTTCATCATGTTTCGGCTTTGTTCGTCTACCTTAAGAATCCCAAAACTGCCCGTTTTGCTAGACGACAGCATGGTAAAATCGATGATGTATCTGCGATCTCCGTTATCCAGCGCACTTTCGGACATCTGGGTCCGGACGAGAAGTTGTTTCCTGCATCCATGCACACGTTCCGGCGGCTCTGGGACATGATCATGGAACGGCTTGGCATTCCTTGCCGCGCTGCTCTCCGTGGCGCGACACCTGGAGTTTTGCGGGGATCTGGTGCCACGCACTTCTACCAGCAGAGTGAAAACTTGCAGCTGTTAGCTTGGCGTGGCCGCTGGGCCCGGTCAAAGACCTTGGAGTACTACCTGCAAGAAGTGGCAGCCCAGATGCTCCTCAGCGAGCTACCTCCGGAGTCTCGCTCCCGCATCTCGGCTTTTGACAGGGCTTGTGACGCTGTTCTTTCGGCATTGCCGCCGCCGCCTGTGCAGCCTGGATTCACTGGTGGTGCTTCGCAGTATTGAAGAGACGGATAGAGCTGGCATCGCCTTGAAGGCTTTGTCTTTCTCAACCCGGCGAG